AATTTCTGCTGATCGTTTTCCACCAGAATATTTACGGTAATGAGTATTGGTGTGTATCTAAGTTGGGAATCATCTAATAGATCCACTCATCATACCACTTTATCATACCTGGATACTATCAAATACAACCGATCTGTATGCCTACTACACAAGCAGGTTCCTTGTTTGCAAAGACGGGTCGAGCGGGGCAGCGTCCCATTGCTGCGTTTCCTCCGCGGGATAGGTCTTTGGTGTGCCCCGAGACCCTCCCCCTTGAAGACCTATATTCAATGCTAATTGGCGGCGCGTACTCCCTTCACAACTAGCTCTTTGTCGAATTCCCCTTTCCGGTTCCCCCAGAACATCTACTGATCCGGGTAAGGTGTGTCAGGCTGGAAATGACGGAAACTGACTGAAGGCGAGTTGCAACGTAACCTTCTCCGTTCCACTCGGCCGCATTTTACCGTCGTCTATCTGTCAACGCTTTCACTGCATTATTCGCACGGGCGCCATCACTGTTATTTTGAGCAATGGTATTATCCGTATCAAAATTGCACCGATTTTCTATATAGCATGAGTGTTTCTGAGAAGGTCCAGTCTTGTGGCTCAAGGATAGGGATTACATCCATGAGAGGTGAGGTCGCTCACTACACACACACACACAGCCCCCCCCCAAATAGTAAAGTGTAAACATTGTCATGAAAGTACATAACCTTCTAAAAATGACTACCATTATTTTATTCATGTTGCCACCCAAGTAGCATTTCGGACACAAAAACATAATTATTTTGCCACAGCATGCATCATGCAACTCAAGCATAACACACCCATAAGAGTGCAGTTAATGAATGATACACACAAATAGAGTCAAGATAAGGAGAAGTGTTTCTTGAGAGAGGAGATGTAGCGATGTTATCCTGAGAGCACGTCCTGTCTTGAGGTCCATCAACTTCACCATCATCGGAGGATCCAGAGACAGCAGCGTCTCTCCATCCGTCAGATATAGAAGACACTAGACCTACAGTATACTGTACACACAAATTCGTAATACTATTCATTATCTCTCTGGGGTATTTCCATGCCACTAATAATAATACATTTACAACAAACAACAAGGGGCTTTGTACAGAATGAGAAACACAAAAGAGTCGAAGACAAAGGTGTGACCATTTGTCGGCATAAAGAGGGTTTGATGATGATGAAGGAACGTCAGACTGGAGAACACAGTGCAGGTGGTGAGTGGTGATGTGTGTGTGCCATAGGTCGCCTCATGAGTGTCTCCATTCGAGGTGCAGTTTGTACTGTGTCGTGGATTCCTCTGTCAGTGCCAGATGTGTCTCCATTGTCTCGCTCTCATCAAACCTTGTATTCTGGGCACTGTTGACCTCAGCTGCAGTAGCATCTTACTGAATCAGGCTATGTTGTGTAGTAACACGAGCCTCTCTTTGAGAAATCTTGTGTCAGTTCTGGATGGATGTGTCGCCGCTTGTTGTTACGGAGGTGGGGTATTTTTGCTGTTGTTCGGTCGAGCTCGCTGAGGTGATCTTGCGCTGGTGAGGGGTTTGTAGATGAATCCTGACTTGCGTCGTTGCTGGCCTAGAGTCTACCTAACCAGCCGTGAAACAGAAGAAACGAAGATTCAACAGCTGTCGTGTCCGATGCTAGCACTACGGACGCCCTGAGACGTGCCACTCTTAACTCCTACTCCTGTTATTATAATCCCTATATACCACAGTACATACAGTATACAAGTACTACTCGCTACTTAGTGCTGACACGCTTGTACCTACCCTATATACCAAAGTACACCTACATATATCAAGTACTACTGTACTTAGTGCTGAACCTGTGACATACCTATGATACCAAGCACTATCCATATACAATAGTATAGTGCTGGAACTTGTACATACCGACTATATACCAGTACATACATATTTAAGTACTACTGTACTTAGTGGACAAACTGCTGAACTTGTATATACATAGCTACACACAGCATGGTAGACTCTGAGATCATACACAATTACGACAGACTATAATAATGTAATTCATGAGGGTTTCGTGGACAAGAGTGTACTAGAGTTATTGTTACCTTGGCTTGATGGTTTGGTATTACATATATACTCACGTTTGTTGGCAGCTCTGATATATAGACCTCAGCATGTCAGACATGTCCTAGAGAGAGAGATACGAAGAGAGAGGAGAGGTGGAAGAGTAGGAGGAAAGGGAGACATGGCAATACAGTTTGGTACTCTGCTAGAGGCATTATTAGGCCATTGTAAGCAACTACCCTCACAACACCTCAGGTGGTATATTTCAAGAGTTTAGGGTAAATCCCAGGGGCTTCCCCTTCTGTGTGAATTTCATACCAACCAGGTCTGTATTGTTACTTTAGTGTGTGGGTAATGGCTGGGACACTGGCTGGGACACTGGCTGGGAGAGAGTGTAGTGAGATTAAGAGAGAGTCGGAGGATGGGGCCTCACAAACCACACGCCCTGGAGTCCACACATTAGTAAACACAGTAATGTTGTTCGGCGGGAGAGAGAGGTACGGAGGGAAAGACGTTAAGAGAGAGAGCATGGAGGAGTGTCGGTCTTGGGCCTCACAAAACCACAGCATGGAGTTACACCGTATAAACATTAGTATGGCGCTGGGAGAAGAGAGTAGCGAGGAAAGAAGAGTAAGAGAGACAGGGAGGGAGTGTAGGCTTGGGGCCTCACAAACCACAGCCATGGAGTACACACAGTAATAAACACAGTATGGCGGCTGGGGAGAAGAGAGGTAGGAGGGAAAGAAGAGAAGAGAGAGACAGGGAGGGAGTGTAGGCTTGGGGCCTCACAAACCACAGCCATGGAGTACACACATATATTATTATGTAGTAAACACAGTAGCTATTATAGGAAGACTTCATTCTGTTCCCAGGCTATGGGGTGGTATTCGTGTCAGTATTTAAACGTCGATTTTGCCAAGGCATTTCCGTTTTGCCGCGGCAATTGCCCTGGCAAAACCTGGGCCGAAAAATCCGGGACATTTGCCGCGGCAAGAATAACTAGCTGGGCCATGTTCAATCGTGTCAGTATTCTTGTCGTTGTCGGGCCTTTTGCCGCGGCAAAAAGTGCTCTTGCCTAGGCAATTGCCGCGGCAAATGGAAATTTGCCGAGGCAAGAGCACTTTTGCCGCGGCAAAAGGCCCGACAACGACAAGAATACTGACACGATTGAACATGGCCCAGCTAGTTATTCTTGCCGCGGCAAATGTCCCGGATTTTTCGGCCCAGGTTTTGCCGGGGCAATTGCCGCAGCAGTTTAATTTTCCCGCGGCAAAACTGGAAATGCCTTGGCAAAATCGACGTTTAAATACTGACACGAATACCACCCCATACCAGGCTCTCTATGAGATAACCAATGAACCCCCTGAAATTTTCACAAACAACCTGGACTCCATTGACAACACAACAACTTTTGCAATTTCACAAACAGAGTCCTCGAATGGAGAAAGAGGTTTTTTTGCAGTCGATAGTATCCAAGTCACAGGTGAAAATATCCCTCTTGGTTTTGGCGACAAGATACACGCCGGCTCACCTTCTTCCTTGTGGTGATGGTGGAGCTACTGCGAGATTTCTCCTCCATTTTAGCCACCGCATCGCCCTCCTTTAGTATGTAGCCGACGACGTTCCGGAAGAGGGAGGACCAGGTCAGGGGTGACTGGCCGCCACCATGTTTGGACTTGGTCGTCTGAACGCCTCTCGTGCTGGCCGTTATGTAGTCAACGATGGGGGCTGACTCTAGTAGCTCGCGGAGGACCGTGGCACTTTTCTGGAGGGTATAATGCCAGTACATCCAGTATATACATCATGAAGGTTTGTTTGAACTTTACATCAGCTAATACACATTATATATCATTGCAACAGAACTCCGTGAACTATTGACATATCAGTTTCATACGGACACTTGCTGCACGAGCCTAACAAACCCCTACAGCGGGGTTTTGCATTCGTCTCTTGTCATTCTAACGGAGTCGGAATGAGTTGCGCCTTGCATGCCTGAAACGCACAGGGTATATTCTGCATCGATCGGATCTTTCTAGGCTGGAACGGGACGAGATATCGCATGCTAATGGACGCCCGGACCTTTCTCTCTGTTATCTTCTCCGAGATGATCCCTCGATGAGCAGCAAACAGCTCGCTTAGGTCCATCCTCGCCATCTCTCCAAAAAGCAGCTGTCGACCTTTGTACTTTACACGTGACTGTAAGCGCGCATGCGGTTATGAGATAAGCGCATAACTATTATCACATGTATACAAGGCTCACAATAAACAAACAAACAAACAAAAGGGGCTTTTTACAGAATGTGAAACAAAAAAGAGTCGAAGAAAAAGGTGTGATGATGTCGGCAGATGATGATGATATACAGTGTCAGACTGGAGAAAACAGAGTGCAGGTGGTGAGTGGTGATGTGTGTGCATTAGGTCGCCTCATGAGTGTCCTCCGAAGGTGCAGTGACTGTGTCATGGATTTCCTCTGTAAGTGCCAGTGTTTCCCCTTGTCTCTCTCTCATCAAACTTGTATTCTGGGCACTTTGTTCAGCCGCAGTAGCAGTTCTTCCTCCGGAGGTTCTTATATCTTTCAGTACGTAAAGAATCTCTTTGAGAAATCCCCCAGTGTCAGTTTCTGGATGTGTGCCGTTGTTGTACGGAGGTGGCAGTTGTTTGGGAGGTGATTGCTGGTGAGGGGTTTGAGATGAATCCTGATTGCGTGGTTGCTGGTAGAGCGGGGGATGGGGTCCAGGACTTTGACGAAGCTCAGGTGCTGCGGCAGTTTGTACTTCAGCGGCTTCCGGTACCAGACCTGGGGTGTGATTTTGGTCTGAGTTGGTCAATACCGAAGAGACTCTTGGCGGGCTTTCTGTGGCCGACAGAGTGTGGCTTGGCGAGAACCTTCCGTCAGGACTGTCAATGTTTGTCCGGGCTTTCGAACGAACCCACTGCGCACATCCCTTCATATTCCCCCGCCACTTGTTCAGGGACACATTTACCGTTAGTATCGGCCCCGGGACCAATTCCGGGAATCCTCCTTCTACTTCATTTTCGTCAAACACCCACACGTCTATGAATTTATGAAGTACTTTGGAAGGGAATGATCGCGTGTTGAAGTCCCTCAAGAGTTCCCAAGCCGTTTCGTTCGTCGTGCGGAGTTCCTCTCGACTTACGCGGCGAACGAGGTAGAAAAACTGGCAGTTGTCCTTCATTATGAGGGCAGTTAGTTGGTGAGCATCTTTTTTAGCACTCTCAGGGATGGTTCCGGGGTTCCCATCGTAAAGTAGTTCCTCCAGTTCGTCACCGTCGGGCCACAGGTTTAGAACCAAAGTTCGCTTGGTGTCATCTGGGTGGAGAGACATATACGTAGTACACACGCCATAAGATTATGATAGCTCTACAGCTGAGTCATGTGATTTATGACCTCATTATGACTTCATTCATAAAGGGAAACTCTTAGTACGTGAATAATAATTATGCGCTCACCTTCCATCTGACTCTGCTCTTTCACCCTGGGGTCGTCATTGAGTTGGTCACGCTGAGATAGTTCAGGAGCTGATAAAAAATGACATCATCAATTATGACATCACTGCCAATAAACTCTAACATACCCTCAGTACGCTGCCTTCCCATGTTCGTAATCTTCTTGAACCATTTGCGACCAACTCCAACTATGGAAGCTATCACCACTCCAGTAATTGCTCTAGCTGTAAAAAAAAGAGGGGAATAAAAAACATGTAGCATTAGAACAGGGGCCAAAAATTCTGGGGTGGTAATAATACAACAGAACAGCCTACAACACTGAGTGGAGCTACAGTTAAATGGTGCTTGGTATAACATTATACTAGTTGAAAAAATTGGTATAGTAATCTTGTTGTATATATCAGCTGATGAGGCACTTGTAGACAAACATCTTCATTTGCCAAGAGAAGGAATGTGTGGCAGGCAGGCCCCGAACAACATGTTTCGCTAACAAGGCACCTTTTTTCAGAGGGTCCTTTTTTTGAGGATTCGCAGTTCAAATAAAATGTATAGACGAACTGTTGCACACTGCAGTAACAGAAGGTGATACACATACATACCTCTCTGATCCAAAGAAGGCTGACTAGATGGTTGGGGCAGTGAAGAGGTTGAAGAAGGTAACCATACTGCTTCTACAATATTATGTGAAAGTCGAAACTGTGGATCTTCAATAACTACTTTGACTTCTGGAACTACCTATTGCACATGACTGTTACGTCCATCCTAAGAAATGCAGCTTAAATCTAGTGCTGTGTACCTTGTGGAGTGTCATTAGGTGAGGTAATTTCAAGGTGTACCACGGATTCGTCCGTTATACCATAGTGTCCCAGTGTCTCGTTATCTTCTAATGTCGTTTTAGAGAAATGCAGTTGGTAAGTAAAATATTTAAGCCAACACCAGTGGTGCACTAGCTTTGTTTTCAATTCAAGAACTGTGGGTCATTACACAGCAAAGATGCACAAAGCTACATGACACCATCCCTATATCTTTGTCTCATATTAAACTTTACT